CTGGGAGATCTCCTATACCCACGTGCCTTGGAGAAACTTTACGCGGCCTTGACGAAGCAAAAGCTGACCGGAAAGCCGTCAGAAAGGGCTCTCTGGTACTGTTGCAGGTAAAAACGTGTTCTGAGTAGCCCCCGTGACACAAAATAGGCACGTGTCACAGTGGTCTTCTGCCGTGACACTGTGAATTCGTGCCGTGTCACGGTGGAATCTGCAATTTTTTTTTTCGGCTGATTTTTTGTTTTGCAGATTTGGTTGATGGAGCGTTTAGAACTTTTTGAAGCCCCCGTCGATATGAAAAATATGGTCCCAACAATCTAGTCCGCAGGATGAAGAATTACTCTGTGAACATGTCGTATGAAGATTGGAAGAATTTCTTTGCAAAGAGGGAATTTTCCATTCGTTGGGTGGTGCCTTGGTGGAGGCTTACTAGGATAGTTGGTACGAATGATACTCCGTATTGCCGTGTTCCTAGTATCTCAAGACTGACTTTTTATTGTTGTAGGGAATAGTTTCAAGCCTTTAATTATCTCACTAGCTTGAACCCCACTGTGATCATACACTAAAGTACGGTGGCGTCCAAAAGGGAAGAAGATAGAGCAAAAGAGTCGCCAACAAGTTTTTAAGGAACTTGTAAACCATCACGAGGTGAAGGTTACACCCCTTAACGATCCAAGAGATCATCAACTCCATAAGGTCATGAACCAAATAAGGGTTCGGGGATGAAGGTACAAATCCAACCTAAAAGAGATTGAACCTGCCCTAATAATAGGCCTCTACTTTATTCTGCTCGTATTCATGTGGGCTTTCTGATTAACATGCAATCAATAGGATTAACCCTAAACATGTTTAATCTATTTTGGTTGAATTTAATGCACAAATAAACTATTATTGGCGATCACTTGAATTTATAATCACAATTAACCTAACAAGATTATTAAATATCTTATTAAGCGTGGTTGTAAATACCAATTCCCTTTAACCTGCAATAAAAGGTGATCAAGCAATAACAATATTCAATATATATCAAGCAACATAATGAATAATCATCATCAATCATAATCATAAATGTTAGAAAGAACATAGGAAGCATCATATTCTTAATCATGCTTAATATTAAAAACACCCTAGACACGATACTAGGAATATCATAATAACAATATAAACATGATGTCTACATCATAAAATCAATTAAATCAATAAAGTACTTACTTGGATGCCTCGTACCTCTTTCTAATTACAAAATACACACGTTAGTAACTTCAAGGAAAATAATAAACAAAACAATTAAATTAAATAATAGAGATTTGGGACCAAACCCTCAGAAATTAAAAACCTTTCACGTCGAGGGAGAAGGAAACTTCGAATATGGCTAGGTGTATCTAGATCTTGTGAATGCGGAATTTTGTATTTGAGAAAAGGCCTAGTTTAGAAAAAGAAAGAGAGAGAGAATAATCAAGAAAATCTTGATGAGAGTTGATGAATGATAGATGTAAATTCGTCCCTCAAAACGGAGTTTTTGATACGATATTTATAGAGAAAATCCGCCAAAAAAGATAATTTATCAAAACAGAGTCTGAAGATCACAGAAACAATTTGGCGCCAACCCTGGCTCATTGGCGCCAGGACCAGTGGCTAGCGCCAGGCGCCAATGGCTAGCGTCTGGCGCCAATCCTGGTTCCAGGCGCCAAGGCCTGGGGTTGGACGCCAAACCGGATTTTAACACGTTTTCGAAAATCTGATAATTTTACCGTACTTGAAGATAAAATAATATAATTTCAGTCGAAAATGCTATTTGATCTAATTAAAACTCTAAAGAATCCTAATTGAATTAAGAATGATAAAACCTTCTAGAATGTTCTAGAAGACCAAAACCATTCCTAATTACATTAGGAATGGTAAATCCTATTAGGCCCTCTCCTAGATCATTGGGCCGTACTTAAAACTCAAACCGGGCCCAGTTTAGTAAATTGGCCATAACTTCCTCAATATTCATCGGAATTGGGCTTATAATATATCGTTGGAAAGGTCTTTGCAAGCTCCATCCAACTACACCCCTATTGGACCCATATTATGGACCAACCAAACTGGATTGGCTGTTTTCCTTAAAATAAAGTTTTCAAAAACAGAGAGAAGAGAAAAGAAAAGAAATAAAACTTTCCGCAACACTAGACCTTTCCACACTTTCGTTTCATTCGATTATGATTCGACGTGAAAGGCACTCATCACCGGGTTTGGTTTTGGGGAGACACAAATGGGTGTCTACAATTGTCCTTCTCGATTGATGCGACAGTATGGACTTGAACAAGTAGTTCCACGCTATAACGATAGTCCTCGTGAAGTATCGTTGCATGAAAGTAACGTTCACAAGTACGAGGCTTATTGGATTGGAAGACCTTTGTGGACCGTTTCTGCAAGTAACCAAGCTCCTCCTCCCTTATCTAGTGCATACAAGGCATGGTTGAATCCTAGAAGTAGAAGGGATCGAGTCGGATCACGCAACTTTGATGTGAAGGGGCGTCTCGGAAGTAAGAAGGCGCATCCTAAAGATCGTCTCGGCCCAAGAACACAAGGGATTGAGTTTAAGACTCCTACAATGCCTAAGAGGAAGAACTATGTGAAAGGGAAGGGTAAAGAGAAGATGGTTTATAGATAGAAGCAACCAAAGAATTCTAAGAACGGTGAAAGGAGTGGAAGTTCGAATAGGAGTGTGACGGTTCGGGCTACAAAAGACACATTAATGGTGAAGGCTGACCTAGTTGAAAAAGAGAAGAAAGTTCCTAAAGTGAAGAGGGATTAGATCAGTATTGCTTTGCTTTTATGATTTATAATTTTTTAAAATAAGGCGCATGATGCCAATAATTTTAGTCACATTTATTTCAATAATAACATATTTATTTTCGTTTAAATAAAAATTACAATGACTCTTTATTTATTTATTTTTTTATATATCCGAGTCAAGAAGTCAAACGCAATGAAAGAACAAATAAAAAACGTCGAACAAATAATTGAATTTGCGAAGATTGCGTCACTAAAAAAAAATCGAAAAATCTGAGATTCTACCGTGTCACGGTAGAAATTCCCATGACGCGGCAAACTTTTTTTTTCTTTTTTTTTTTGCTGCAGGTCCACCATGCCACGGTGGAAATTTTCCGTGACACGGTAGAGTTTCCCGTGGCGCGGCAAACTTTTTTTTATAATTTTTATTCTAGCTCCATTTTGTCGTGACACAATGTTGAACTGGCGCGTATACTTGATCGACAGAGGAATGATTTTTTTTTAAAGTGGCCGGGCTCCCTTGAGGGGTTGCCTACGTATCCTTAAAAAAGGAAACAGGCCAAACGTAGCTCTATTAGGTCATGAACCCATGCAACTACGCATATAATTTCTTGAGTTGATCCAAGTTGGTTAAATTGTGGAAACCGTTACCCCGTCCATGTCTACAAATTGTGCCGCTCCGCCGGACAAGGTGGCTTTAACAATGTACGGGCCTGACCAATTTGGTCTGAATTTTCCTCTTGGATCCAACACATTTTTGCAAAGTGCCTTAAGCACCAGGTCACCTTCTTTGATGTCCCTAGTCTTCACTAGTGGAAAAAAATCTTATTTGTAACAAGCTATTCGTAACGGGCATATGATTTTCCGTTACAATTACATCATTTGTAACGGGCAAATTCAATGTCCGTTACGAATAACCAACTAGTCGTAACCAACAAGTCTTTCCCGTTACGAATAACCAACTAGTCGTAACCAACAAGTCTTGCCCGTTACGAATAACCAACTAATCGTAACCAACAAATCTTGCCCATTACAAATAACCAACTAGTCGTAACTAACAAGTCTTGCCCGTTACGATTAGGTTTCAAAGTAAACCCTAAATTTTAATTTCCCCTTTCTCTCTCTCTCAAAATATTATTTCCCCTTTCGCTCATCGTCATCCCTGAAATCCTCAGCTCAAGCTCCGTTTTTTCTCTCTCTCTATTGAGTAACGAGGATGTCAGGCGTATCGTTGCAGTGCAGAGATTGTGGAGCTCTTCTGAAATCCGTAGCAGAAGCTCAACAACATGCGGAGCTCACTTCTCTCTCCAATTTCTCTGAATCTAATGAGCCTGTTCTTAATCTCATCTACTCTTCCTGCGGCAAACCCTGCCGCTCCAAAATTGTAATCTCCTCTCTCTTTTCCATTGTTCATATTCAATTTGAAATTAGGGGTTTTTTATATGTTGAATTTGATTTATCAGGAGAGTGATTTCAAAGTAAACCCTAACTTTTAATTTCCCCTTCTTCTTTTTCCCGTTCTTAGGGTTTTCGTTTTTCGAAGCTCAAATTTTCTTCAAGTTTAGCCGCCATGGGAAGAAGTAAGATCTTCATTGATGCGTTATTTTTTCTGGATTAGTGTTTAGATTGTACTGTCAGTTGTCAATTTTGTTTTTGTATGTACAATCGATTTTGTGAATTCAGTTTGTTCGTCAAATTGGGGTTAATATTCGAATTTCGCTGTTTTTTTCTGCTAGTTTTTGCTTGATTTTTTGTGTTGATATGAACATTTTGAGTGTTTATTTGCTATGAAGTCTGTAACTTTTCCTATTTTTGTTTCGATTTGATCAATTTCTTTTTTAACAAATACTTATAATTTATGGTAATTCCGATGAAGTTGGGTTTATGTTTGTTTGATTAATTTATGAACAAATGACAATAAAATTGATGCAATTTTTTTTTTTAATTATTGTTTAAGATGTGTTGCGTATTAATCTGATTATTGTTTGATTAATTTTTATTTTTAATTATTGTTTTAATTATTGTTTGATTAATTTATTAACAAATGACAATGAAAGTCTTTGACTGATCTATAAGTTTACTGGAACGTGGAACATGGAACTCTCTGGTGGTTCCATTGGTTGAATTGTACTAGGGGTTAGGTTAATTACTGTGATTATTATGTGATAAATACCCATATAATATGATTTTTATGAATGGAACATTTTTATTGCTGTGTTTTATAGGTGAAGGGACCTGAAGGCGATCAGATCCTTGACACCCATGATAAGATCAGTGAAAAATTCGACTTTACTGCTCATAAAAAAGGACCTTTCAGTTTCTGCTTCACCAATAAGTCACCTTATCATGAAACCATTGATTTCGATGTACAAGTCGGACATTTTTCATACTATGACCAGCATGCAAAGGATGGTAAGACAACAGTTTTCCCTATTTTAGCTTCATAAGAGGTTTCTAATATACTGATATAAGGTGAGATGGCTGTTTGTCAAATTTAGGTTCATGTTTGCAGAGCATGTGAAACCTTTGGTAGAGCCGATTGAAAAGCTCGGTCAATCTCTTTACAACATTCAGTTTGAACAGCATTGGCTAGAGGCACAGACTGATCGACATGCAATAGGTACTTTATTAATCTCCTCTCGAGTTTAGAAATCACCCATTTCAGATGCCTTCTTGAATTTTAGAGTACTTTCTAATACCTACATTCCTTGTGGTCACTTCTACACGACGTTGAATTCATCTGTTAGTGGGCCTAACAATGGTCTGCCATAAGTATTAATATCTCTAAGTGTCGGTATAAACTGTTATCGTGTTGACTGTCTCTTATCTGTATGACAATGCAGTGAATAAAGTTATGAGCAAGAGAGCAATCCATAAAGCCGTTACGGAATCATTTGATCTAGTTGGTACGAGCGTGTTGCAGATATACTTATTGTGGCGATTATTTGAAAGGAAGCTTGGGACTTCAAGAGTCTAAAAGATTCATCACATTAGTGATTTACTAACATATTATAATCTTGGTGTTTCACTGTTTTGGGAAATAGCTTAGTCTTGCTTTAGGATCTTTCTATTATGTTATTTTTAAATGAAGATATCAATGGATTTTCCCTTTCTTCTTCTTTTTTTTTTATTTTATTTTATTTATTTATTTATTTATTTATTGTAACAAAGAATCTTGTAAGTATAGGTTTTTAATTAGGTGAATCAAAGAAATTATTAAACTTTGCATATCAAAGAAATTATTAAACTTTGCATATCAAAGAAATTATTAAACTTTGCATATCAAAGAAATTAGTATAGGTTAACATGTTGGTGTTTCTCTGATTGTTATCTTTTGGTGCTCTTGAAGGTACTAATAAGTTGCATAGAAACTGCTGGAAGCACCATGACTCGACATAAGGCTCTAAAAGAACAATACTTATTCTGCTGCTCATGTCCTCGTTGCATTATATTAGTAAGTGCCTCAATTTATGTCATTTTGCATTTATCACTCTAAAGCTTATGGTGGAAGCTTGTTACTTTCTGTTGTTTAACATTGATCCATTGTATTATCTAAGGGGAAAATGATCACATAGCTAGGCAAAAATTGAAATTCATACAAATGGATCGGAGGTTAATACACTACTCATCCCATATTGCTATAAATTATGAGTTTTATTTCTATAATTTGGACCAACACATGAAAGATGGGAAAGATAGAAGTCCCTTAGGCAATTTTGAAGCATTTTTATAGTAAATAGTCATATTTTATTGATTTCAATTCATAGAAACCAAAATATAAGTTAATTATGGATGTTATGTGTTTTATTTCTATAATTTGGACTAATACATGAAAGGTGGGAAAGATAGAAGTCCCTTAGGCAATTTTGAAGCCTTTTTGGCTCTAAATGCTCCCAAAAGTGAGTAAATGCTCACTTTTCATTGATTTCAATTCAAAGAAACCAAAATATAAGTTAATTAAGGATGCTATGTGTTTTATTTCTATAATTTGACCAATACATGAAATTAAAGATGGGAAAGATAGAAGTCCCTTAGGCAATTTTGAAGGCTTTTTTGCTCTAAATGCTCTCAAAAGTGAGTAAATGGTCATATTTCATTGATTTCAATTCATAGAAACCAAAATATAAGTTAATTAAGGATGCTATGTGTTATATTGTGTTAATTTGAACCAATACATGAAAGATGGGAAAGATAGAAGTCCCTTAGGCAATTTTGAAGCCTTTTTGGCTCTATACGCTCCTAAAAGTGAGTAAATTGTCACTTTTCATTGATTTCAACTCATAGAAACCAAAATATAAGTTAATTAAGGATGTTATGTGTTTTATTGTGTTAATTTAAACCAATACATGAAAGATGGGAAAGATAAAAGTCCCTTAGCAAGTTTCAAGCCTTTTTGGCTCTATACGCTCTCAAAAGTGAGTAAATAGTCACTTTTCATTGATTTCAATTCATATAAACCATAATATAAGTTAGTTAAGGATGTTATGTGTTTTATTGTGTTAATTTAAACCAATACATGAAAGATGGGAAAAATAAAAGTCCCTTAGGCAAGTTTGAAGCCTTTTTGGCTCTATACGCTCCCAAAAGTGAGTAAATGGTCACTTTTCATTGATTTCAATTCATAGAAATCAAAATATAAGTTAATTAAGGATGTTATACGTTTTGTTGTGTTAATTGGACCACATGAAAGATGGGAAAGATAGAAGTCCCTTAGGCAATTTTAAAGCCTTTTTGGCTTTATATGCTCTCAAAAGTGAGTAAATGGTCACTTTTCATTGATTTCAATTCATAGAAACCAAAATATAAGTTAATTAAGGATGTAATGTGTTTTATTTCTATATTTTGAGTTTTATTTCTATAATTTGGACCATCCTATTTATTCTAATGATTGTTTTTATTATGGATTGTTTTTATTTTGTAACCTCATTCATATGTTTTATTTTTTTTAATAGGATTTTTGTCCAAGAACAGCCCGGTATGATGTTGACGAGTTGAATGTGGTTCGAGAACAGTGGGCGCAATACTTTAGAAGTAAATATTTATTGAATGCATAACTATTAGTTTAGGTAGAACAAAGTAATATTATTAGTGTTGTTGTATGTGTTGGATAAATTTATACAAGTTTTTATTTGTAATGTAGTTTTACTACTTCAATTTTTATATTACGTCGTATTAATTTTTACGAAAGATTGTTTGGTATAATTGTTTATTTACAGGTACAGGTTTATTATAACAGGTTTTAATTAATATATATTAATTATATATAAATACATGGTGCCGAAATTTAATCAAAAAAATTAATTTAATGATTATTTGTAACGGGCAGGAGACTTGTCAGTTACAAATAATAACTTATTCGTAACGGGCATTTTTGTTGCCCGTTATAAATACGTATTTAATTATATACTATAAAACTTTATTCGTAACGGACATTTCAAATGTCACTTACGAATAATCACTTATTCGTAACGGGCGTTTGAGTTGCTCGTTACGAATAAGGACTTATTTTAATACAAAAAAGGCCTTATTCGTAACGGACATTTCAAGTGTCCGTTACGAATAACCCATTATTCGTAACTGGCATTTGAAATGTCCGTTACGAATAACCCATTATTCGGAAATGTCAGTTACGAATAATGGGTTATTCGTAACGGGCACTTGAAATGTCCGTTACGAATAATGAGTTATTCGTAACGGACAGTGCCCGTTACAAATAACAATGGCCATCCGTAACGGCCGCATACGTAACGGACGCTGCCCGTTACGGATGGGCCCTTTTTGCCCGTTACGGATGACCTTATTTCCAGTAGTGCTTGACTTTTTTATTGAAATGTCGCGCCATGCGCTGTTGATAGGTTTGGACATGATGCAAAGTTGCCAAGCGTTTTTCGTCAAGTAAGACTAATTCAGCATATCTTGCTCTAATCCAATCGACTTCATCTAGTTGGCTTTCCAACGCGATTCAGAGAGAAGGGATTTCGAGCTCTATTGGTTGTACAGCTTCAACTCCATAAACCAAAGAGAAAGGGGTAGCCCCTGTTGATGTATGAACAGAGGTTCGATAACCCCAAAGGGCGAAATGTAGCTTACTTGGCCAATCTTTGTAATTTTCCGTCATCTTTTCGATGATAGTTTTCACATTTTTGTTGGCCGATTCGACAACACTATTTGTTTGTGGTCTGTAGGGTGATGATCTGTGATGCTTGATATGATATTTCTGTAATAATTCCGCGCATTAGGCTTGGAAATGCGTTCCATTATCACTGATCATCTCATTAGGTACCCCATAGCGGCATATGATATTTTTCTCAATGAATTGAGATACGTGTTTTGCCGTTAACTTAGCATATGAGGCAGCTTCGACCCATTTGGTGAAATAGTCGATTGCTACGAGAATGAATTCATGTCCCCCTTGTCCTGGTGGCGTTATCTTTCCAATGATATCGATACCCCAAGTAGAGAAAGACCATGGAGAGGTATATGTGTAGAGAAGCGAAGGTGGAACGTGCTGTAAATTTGCAAAAACTTGACATTTCATACATTTCTTGACGTATTCGTGACAATCTCTTTCCATAGTAGTCCAATAATAACCTTGTCGTTGAATCTTCTTGACTAACATCTTAGCATTCATATGCGTTCCACATATGCCGGCATGAAGATTTTCCATGGTTTTGTGTGCTTCTTTCTTGGCTATGCATAAGAGATTTCTTCCTAGTGCAGTCCTTTTGTGGAGTTCTACCCTAATGAGCACATACTATGAGGCCAGGAGCCTCAAAGCACGACGTGCCCTTTTATCAGTATTAGGAGGGTATTCTCCTCTTGTCACGTAGTTAAGGATATCTGTATACCATGACTCTTCATCTTCTTCTTGCAATTCTTGTTCATCATCAAGTGCGTGAACATAAGCCGGTTCATATCTCTTTTCTATGGTCAACGACATTTTAATTGTATCCGTTGGAATTCGCACCATTGATGCTAATTTAGCTAGTGCGTCGGCGAACTGGTTTTCTTCTCTAGGCAAATACGTATATTCCACTTCATCTAGTTGCTCCGTGAGAGTTTCTAAATGAGATTGATACGTAGCGAGACTTTTACTTCTCACTTTCCATCTCTTGGAGATCTGGTTAATGATTAGTGAAGAATCACCGTAGATTCTGAGCTTCTTGATTCCCAAGGCCACAGCTGTTTCTAATCCCAAAATACATGCTTCATATTCTGCGGCATTGTTGGTGACATCAAAGTCGAGCTTCATGGAAATTGGGATATGCTCTTCATTGGGTGATACAAGGAAGACTCCTACACCACAACCTTTTTGATTTGAAGCTCCATCGAAATAGAGCGTCAAGCTATCATCTTTGGTCATGAGTAAATCTTCGTCAGGGAAATCATATTCATCTTCTTCTTTCTCAACATCTTCTAGCGGAAAATCTACTAAGAAGTCAGAAACCGTAGAACCTTTGATGGCTTTTTGTGGTACAAATTTCAAGTGAAACTGAGCAAGATTGACTATCCACCTTGATAATCTGCCATTGAGTGTTGCTTTTTCAAACAAGTATTTGAGAGGATCCATCTTGGACACGATATGGACTGTATGAGTGAGCATGTAATGTCTTAGTTTCTGTGCGGCCCACACAAGTGCCAGACCAAAACTTTTCAAGTGGTGTGTATCGTGTCTCGTATCCTTGAAGCTTCTTGCTCAAGTATTAAATTGCATTCTCCTTGCTTTCGATCTCTTGTGCTAGCATTTCCCCCATCGTTTCTCTTGTGACCGTAAGGTAGAGTCGAAGAGGAAAGTTAGGTATTGCTGGCGCTAGCACGGGTGGGTTTGCCAGGTACTCTTTGATTTTGTCGAAAGCTTTTTGGCAATCGTCATCCCATGTGACTGGGACATTTTTCTTAAGCTTCTTGAATATAGGTTCACATATCGCTGTGAGTTTTGATATGAACCTACTTATATACTGCAGCCTTCCAATGAAGCCTCGAATTTCCTTCTCATTCTTAGGCGGTGGCATGGCCATGATCGCTTTGACTTCTGTGGGATCGATTTCGATCCCTCGAGAACTGATCACATATCCAAGTAGCTTGCCTGATGTGACTCCAAATGCACACTTTGCTAGATTTAATCTCATGTTGTATTTGCAGAGTCTTTCAAAGAACTTGCGAAGTGCAATGATGTGGCCTGGGCGATCTTTTGACTTGACGATCATATCGTTAACATAGACCTCCACCTCTTTGTGCATCATATCATGTAACAATGTCGTGGCTGCTCTTTGGTAGGTGGCACCCGCGTTTTTCAACCCGAATGGCATTACCGTATAGCAATACGTACCCCATTGTGTGATGAATGTGGTTTTCTCCATATCTTCTTCGGCCATTAATACTTGATTATATCCGGCGTAGCCGTCCATGAACAATAGGAGTGCATGGTTTGCTGTGTTATCGACCAGAATGTCAATGTGAGGTAGAGGGAACCCATCTTTTCGGGCTTCCTTATTGAGATCCCTATAATCAACACACATTCTGACCCTTACATCCTTCTTTGGAACTGGAGGTCCCTGTAATCAACACACATTCTGACCCTTCCATCCTTCTTTGGAACTGGAACCACGTTTGCTATCCACTCTGGATACTTGGATACTTTGATGAAACCTGCGGCCAATTGCTTTCTGATTTCTTCTTTGATTTTGAGAGCCACGTCCGGTTTCATACGGCGCGACTTTTGTTTGACAGGCTTCATACCTGGAATGAGTGGTATCGTATGCTGAGCTATATCCCTGTCAATTCCTGGCATATCTTGGTATGACCAAGAAAATACATCAACAAATTCACTAAGCAAGTTAATTAGCTCTTTGCGTTCATCTTGACTTAGTGTTAATCCAATTTTTACTTCTTTAATAGTCGTATCATTGAAATATTAAATGTTTCTGTATCTTCGATAACTGTCGTTTTATTTTCATGTTCTTCCATTGCTTTTATTATTTCTTTGTCATTTTTATCGTTAGCAAAGCAATATTGATCAGGGTTAGGGGAATGACACGCATCTTAAGCAAAGGTACTCATTTTATTGAATTCATCGGTCAATACATCAAAAGGGGCAAGGTCAGCTGTGACCTCACCGGAAAGAGAAGACTCAACAAGAGACTAAGGATTGGACTCTATAGTAGAAAGAGGGTCGGCCTCAGAACCTAGGGACTCATCTACAGACTTAGACTCAGACTCGGACTCGGACCCGGACGACTCAGACTCATCAAACATAGGACCTTCGCCAGCGGTTATTTCCAACTTCTCTCCGTTTGGCGTAGTGATCCTACATGTCTTGCGTCATCCCTTTGAAATATCATCAGCCTGGACGATTAACTCGGAGGGGTCAAAATCCTTGTTTGATATAACAGCTTGAATGAGCTCGGAATCATCATTGTAGGTAGGCTTGGATTCATTCTTTTCTAGTCCAAAAAGAAGGTCAATGTTTAGATCATCAGAGCTTGGACTAGCTGGTTTCTCAGTTGTGAAGAGTTCTTCGCCTTCATCGACAAAGTCACAATCGAGGAACATCTCGAATCCTGGTTCACGCTTCCCATCGTGGACGAAAGGTTCAGGGAATTCATAGCATGGGAAGTCTTCCCCTTCTTTGATGTACTGGCCATTGAGGGTGAATGGATATGGATCCATGGCCATTTCCATCTTCATGATTCGAGCGTTATTGCGAGCCTTCATTTTCAAGAGGGCTTGTTTCACATCTTATTTTGTTCGCTTGAATCCCAAGCCAAAGGTATCTTTCTTGAGTGTACCAGGATGGCCCCAAAGTTCAGCCATTTTCTTTTTGAGTTCGAGGGTCATTCCAGGGAAATGCCCTTGATTCTTCATAATGGCATTAATATTGGTGTTTGAATAGGGATTAAAGTCGAGATGACGCTTCTCCTCTTCTTCGATCATGAGAACATCATCGAGTGAAAACCCCAAAAGATCTTCATCTTCTTCGTCATGTTCGACATGGACGATAGGAGTGTCGATAACTTGAATGCGCATGGGAGAGGCATCAATGGTAATTGGAACCCCTCCTACTATGGCTTTCAATTTCTGGTGCAACGATGATGGGATCGCCTTTAGCTCATGAAGCCAAGGACGTCCTAACAACAGATTGAAAGAGGCCTTAATGTCCA